AAAAAAAAAAAAAAAAAAGCAATTTTTGGTCATCCTGTATTTAAATAATTGGACTGGTAAGTAGTTAATGAGTCCAAAATCTGTTACTAACAAACTGTGTGAACCATTTCATTCAAGCGTGTTTGGAGGCAGGAAATCTAACACAGTAACATGCTTTTATTCTATCATAAACACAAATATGGTACATTTCAAATTTAACACAGCAATCTCACAAGTAATTAATGCAATGAAGGAAAAGAGACACATCCATTACTAAGCTGTTACCAGAACAAATTATCCAAAAAAAAAAAAAAAAAAATCAAGCCACGTACTTTTTGCGGATATTTTTCCATGAAGGGAGTAACTTGACAAGTCTCATAAAGACCAAGTTATCCAAACTATGTTTCCATGAATACAACTTAAGGGAAAAAAGAACAAGTTGAAAACTCTTAGGAATATTCACTTAAGTCTCAATACTGTACAGGAAAGTACAATTGTCATTCTACCAAATGTTCCAAAGTTTACAAAAAAAAAGCCATACAATTTTCGCAGTAATCATTAACAGAAAATAACAAGTATTAATGAAATAACACAATATTAACCTTCCACATACATCATGTCACATAAAAAAAAACATTCAAAATTGCACTGTACCTTTCAAGAACCCTTTTCCACACAACCTATTTAACAATCCAAAATCCCTGCAATTTTTTCTGTTTCTATCCTGAGAAAGTGTCTCCTCCCATTACTATGGACAGAATAAGACTGATAGCTCTGTCAGCCCAGTCTTCATTATCAGCTCAATTTCTACCTGCCTTATTTCTGCATCTAGCCTTTTGTTCAGTTTCCCCTCACCTCTCACGGTCTGTTTAACTGTCCTATCAATTATAAAGCAGATTTTTGCCTTTCTCTCCAAGTACATCTCCCTTTAAGCCCACTACACTTGTTAAAGAGTGTGGGGAATTATGAAGCTGGGAGAGGGGACAATCAGATCTCTCTACCACCAGATCTGTGAAGAGCTCACACAAATAAAAGCCTGCTTTTTCAGGCGTTTCTGAATTATCTTTTTTAAAGTTTTTTTGTTTTTTGTTTTTAAAATAGGAGAAAAAGGTTAATGTGGAGACATAGCTGCTGGCAACACTCAAAGGAGTGAGCATAGCTAATAGTAGGCAACATTAGAAGGTAACTAGTGGAGCAGGAAGAGTCACAAAGTAACATACATTACAGAAAAAGTGGTCCACTGTTAATCTCCCTTGACAACATTAATGCTCAGCAATTATCCACAGACTGAGTGCCTGAACTGCCAGATGCAGAGCAGTATGAACAGAATGTGCTCCAACCCAAATGGTAGAAAGATCAGAGGCCCTTGGAAAAACGGTCCATGCAGTGTAGATCAGGTAGTGCAACCTACAACATCACTGGTTTGTCTTAGAAGTAGTGTGATCTATTGCCATGGATCATGGGATATTAACACAGAAGAACATGAACGCCAAGTATTAAGGAGCATGTCCGTAGAAGTCTCAATCTTGAAGCTGAAAGAACTGAATATCCAGAGAGAAGGGTACAGAAAGTTCAGCCAAAAAATAAAAACAAAAACAGAAATAAAGTCATACCACCCATGGCTCTTGCCCAAGCGTATGTCCAGCAAGAGGTGGTAGGGGACTTTGTGCAGCAGAATTCCCAAAGGTAGAGATTAACCTGATTGGAAACCGAAGGGCCTGGGGATCTCCACTGGCTCTCTTAGGGGTCGACGCCTCGCTCTACGTACTCCTTCACGCAACAGGTAGTACTGCAGTGGGTCTGGCCAGAGATCCTCTTTGATAATCTCAGCAATTCTGTCAGACTCTGGAAGACTGTGGTCTGAAAACCAGGTAAAGAAGCTGCAGATGAGGTCTTGGTTTCTGCGAATGAAGGTCTGGGGTTCGTGTCCCCTTCGCCATATGATTGGAGTGGAAAGAGACACCACTCGGCCGGAAGATCTGACCTCAAATTCCTTGACGATCAGCTTATTTCTGAAGTAGGGGTTTCTTCTAAAGAAGAATTTGAACTTGCAGCCAGTTCTAGGATGTCTCAGTTCCTTCACCTCCAAATTGGTCACGTACCTTAACATATCTGCATCTTGTCCCCTGACCATGGCGGACAGCTGGGGGTGGTTCCTAAAAGCGGTCATCCAGAAGCCCGGGATACTCTGAATGATGTAGTTCCTTCGCTCCAGGTAGTGCCGATGCATCCGCCCGAACTTCTGCTCCAGGTGTTGGAAGGCCCTGTCCGCCTGGGCATTCACAGTGTCCAGTTCCAGCTGGATGGCCTCCAGAGGATCCCTGTACAGATCCATATTCAGGGCCCAGGGTCCCGCCTCCTTCACCTCTCCTGGGCTTCCGTCTTCCTCCGCCATTTTCTTTTCTTCACCCACCGGCGCCTCCACCACTACGGCCGCCTCGGCTCCCTCCTCCTGCTCCATCCCTTCCTCCACCCCGACTTCAGGCCCCGCCTCTTCTTCCACTGCTCCGGGGCTCTCCGCGCACTTCTCAGCCGTCGCTCCCTCGCCCTTCGGTCGGCCCGTCCCCTCGGACGCGCGCCTCTCTGCGGCGCGGGTCTGGAGGGCTTCCGCCCCGTCCGGAGCGCCGGTTTTCGGGCGGCCGTCGGTCGCCAGCCCCGCCGCCAACTCGGCGGCAATGGCTAAGCCCCCAGTGGAAAGCAGCGCCTTCTTCTGCTGGGCCCGGGACTCCGCGCGACCACGACCCGCGTCGACTCGGGCCCAGGCAGCACGGCCGCAGTCCGTGGGGTCGCCGGGGACGCCTGCCTCCTCCGACAGCCGGGGCGACTCCTGGCTCCCCTCACCCGCCTCCGCCATCACCTGCGTCACCTCGGGGTCCCGGCGGAGCGTCAGGCGGCGGTCCGGATCTCCCGGCGCGCGGAGAGCTGGCCAGGGATGCTCAGGCTGGAGGTCTGCGAGGGAGGGGTCCCTTCGACCTCGTCCAGGCCACGCTTGCTAGCAGCAGGAAACGGCCTCTCTTCCTCTCAGAGACGCGCTCGAGAGCAAGACCGAAACACTGCCAGTCTCGCGAGCTCTCTGGAGCGGTAACGTCAGGAGACCACGCGGGCCGGGAAGCGCCGCCTGAGCCAACCACAGCAACCCTCGCGAGCGTCTCCGGGGCGATGACGTCAACACAGGCTTTGGAGAGCTGGCTGACCTTTGGGATTGGTTCCTTCGTTGCCTATTAGACCAGCGAATTCTGCTTTACTTCTGTCAATGTAACCGGTGAAACTGTACTTGTGTAGTATTTAAGTAAATAAATGTAGGTCGCCCCATTGAAAACAGTGATGACCTGCTTGCAATGCTTCTATAAACTGCCCGCAGCTTGTAGGGATCATATCACATGCAAAAATCCGTGTTTCCCTGGAGTTTAGATCAGGCTGACCCAGCAAAAGGGAGAAGAGGAGGGCAGGAGAAAGGTGGGAGAAGGTGTTAAACTTCTAGGTGTTAAAGGTGTTAAACTTCGAAATTGGAGGAAAAAACCAAAATCCTAGGGACGAAGACAGGCTCTAGAAGCTGGGAAAGTAAGAAAGTGGATTCACCCTTAAAGCTCTCAAAGGAAAACCTTAATTTTATGATGTCTAACCTCCAAAACTATAAGACATTAAATTTCTGTCATTTTAGCCTATTACATTTGTTTTAAAATTCTTAGCGATGCAATATGAAATGCATACAGCCTGGGGTAAGTTCGGTGGTATCTATGCAGTGGCTCAGGTTGTTTCTGACAACAACTTCTTTGCATTAGGCCTTTCACAGAAGCTGTGAATTACCACAGCTTGAGTCTCTCTTTGTTTTTTTTTGTTTTTTGTTTTTTTTTTGTTTTTTGTTTTTTTTTGAGTCTCTCTTTGGATGACAAAATCAGGAACATATTTAAGAAATGAACAGAAAAAATAAAATTAAAGCCCAAATGTACCCCAAAAGAAATTAGAGAAGATGGAGCTGCGAGAGAACTTGGTCGTGATTATATTTACCTAAAGCTTCCAACATTACCTTACAGAAAGTGTTAAATAAAGTAGGAAATAAGCAGAATAGTTTCTTCTGCTTGCAACCTGGTGCTTACAGACGAGAATATGGATTACTACTTTGCTGTCCTCCCTGTCAACTGGAAAGGCAGAGGGCTGCTTTATGTGGTAACAAAGTCCTAATGAGGAGTGTGTATATATATATATCAAAGCTTCTAAAAACAGGAGATCCACAGAAATAATTTTGTCTTTACAAATAATTTACATTTGTGTGGTCACACTGTGTGACAAGCTTTGGGAAAAACACTGTATTTGGGTGAGCTTATAAAGCAGAGCCTTAAACCATCATTTCCAATTCTTCCCTCCTTTCCGGAAAAGCCAAAGTAAGGATTCCAGACCTTTTTTTATTTATCTCTGCAAGAAATACGCATAGACTAGGCATGGTGCAGATATGTAGTCCTAGAGGCAGGAGGATAATAGCAAGTTCAAGCCCAGCCTGGGCTACATAGTGAGTTCAAGGCCAGCTTGAACAGTATAGCAAGACCCTATTTCAAAAAACAAACAAAAAAGAAATATGTATAGATCTTATGATCTTTGAATTACTTTTCATATAGATAAGACTGAATAATTACCTTTCCACAAGGCCTGCCTCTTTCTAATTGCTGTTAAATCACCTTCTATCTGGAAAGTGAAAGTTTTAATCTTTTTTATTTTAAACAGATAAGAACAAAGACAAAATAACAAAAAAAGACAAAACAAACAAAAAATATAAAAATGATACAGAATTTCAAAACACAAGGGTAGGAAATCAACAATGGTTGTTGTATTACTTATTATTATCTTCAAAGTAGTTACTCAGATTACCAGATATAGGAATGCAACATTGATCAAACAATTAAACATTAACTGTCTCTTTCAATAAACCAATAGAAATTAGTAGTACAACTATCTTAGCTATCTTGTGTATATATACATACATTTTTTCTCCTTCTTTCTTTTCTTCTTTCATCCCAGTTGTTCTTTGCTATTGAGCAATTTCTTTCCCTTTCACAATACCTATTGTACCTTTCAGATTTTAATTACCCTTTGAAGTTCTTACACTAGGGAGACAATACGATGTTTACACATGCGAGTCTGATTTATTTCACATATGAGTATGGTCTGTAGTTGCATACATTTACCTATAAAAGCCTCAAACTTTTCTTTATAGCTGAGTAATACTCCACTGTATAAAAATACCACATCTTTTTTAGCCACTCCTCAGCTGATGGGCATTTGGGTTGTTTCCAAGATTTAGCTATGACAAATTATGCTGCTATAAACATGGGTGCACATATATCCCTGTGGTATGATGCTTTTAATTCTTCTGGGAAAATACCCAGAAAGGAAATAGATTAAATGGGACCTTACTGGGTTAAATAACCTTTAGCTATTGTAGGCTGATCAGGCTTGCAATCTCCCAAGCAGGTGGACAGTGAAGGCTTAAATAAATGAGACAATGGAAATGATTTCAGGGCTCCAGGATGGACTAACTCTCTAACAGCTTCAATTTTCTCTGAGTTTAGCCAAAGACTTCTCTGGGCACCCCGCAGTTATTTGGTTTACAAACAAAGGAGGAGGATACTCAAGAAAAGGCAGAAATCTGGGCAGGACTTTTCCAAGTAATACATTATGTTAATTTAGGAGAACTATGTTATCTCCAGGAAGGCCTTCACAGCAGGAGTGAGATGCCTGCAGCTACAGTCTCCTTTCAGTTAATTGGTGTTGGAGCCGGAAGTCCTCAGCTGTGGCCTTATCTTGTCCTTTGAGGTGTCACAGCTTCAGAGGCCAATACAGGCCTCAGCGTGACTAGCAGAGGTTTACTTACTATGAGTACACTGCCTATCTTCAGACAAGGTCCCTAAGCTTCAGACAACTCACAAGTAAACATGGAAAGCCAATTGGTTAATATTAAACCTGCTCAGAGCCACTTTGTAGTGGTCTCCAAGAGGACCTCTAATCCTAATTTTCTGAGGGATCTCCAGACTGATTTTCAAAGTGGTTGCACCAGTCTATGAAAGTTTTAATTTAGCCTGAAGTGGAGACTTTTATTACTACGATATGTTTTCTGGTTTTGTTTTGTTTATGCGGATAGGAATTGTAGACTTTAACCATTCCAGAAGATGTGGCTTTATTTATCAAAGTCATCATTATGATGTCTATACATGTATCAATACTCTTACTAATAATGTTAGAAAAGATTCCATTGACAGGTTTTATAAGTCAACATAATAGGGGCATCGCTAAATATAACTACCCTGGCTAGCTTTGAGATGTTTTGGAAGAATTATTCCTTCTCTTCATTTCAATACATTTGAAAGGCTGTGACATGTATTATTTGACTAAGCTATATAGAAAATGAGGAAAAATTAAAATTTTTCTAATTGTAATTACTTAAAAATCAGGTTTGATTCTGGTTATAACTCTTCTTTATAGATGATAGAGAATCCAGTTTTAGGTTTCGTTTTAGGTAAGTACTTGGGTGGAGGAGGATCAAGGAAAGGCAAAGATTTTAAAAGAAAAAGTGGATAAACATATTCCATGTCCTATCTTTCTTAAAAGAATCTTTACTTAGAAAATAATTCTAGAATTTCAATTTTTACCAAGGCATATCTACTTAGGGAGTTATTTTGCCATACAAGAAAAAAATAGATGTATATGGTTTGTTTTTGCCACAGGAAAATAATAGTTATTAGGATTATTATATGTGGAATTTTTTTTTTTATATTCTAGTTCTTAAAAGTCTCTTGTGTCTCTTATCTAAGACGTGTCCTCTGTGGGACATTCTTTCTCTAGGCAGATGCGTCCCCTTCTTTAGGACCTACCACAAACTTATTTTGCCTTAAAGTATGGGGGGCACTTTGCCTGCGCTTAGTTGTCAAATTTTATAAAAGAAGAAACAGTAATACCAAGAGGTTAACTAACTTAACCAAAATCTTACATATAGTAACTGTTAAATTCTTTCTCCCTTTGGAGAACATTTTTTAACCTTACAGTTCATTAATCTTCCTTCCTAGAATTCCTACGATTCTATGAGCTATCCCATGTAATTTATTGCTTAGTTATACCCTTTCTTGTAGTGACTGTTATGGTTTTATAAATATCAGCCTCATCATCCCAACACTCTAATATTATCTTGGGCTAGGAACACAGTTACTGCTGCTTTTCCCTTTACTCACTTAGCATGGATTTTGGCTTTGTTGAATTGGATAAAAATAAACTTTAAGTGATCTTAGAAAAACTAATAGTGTATTTACACACAGTATATTTTATTTGAAAGAGGAAAGTATTTTGGCTAGGCTTCATAACTAACTTTTTATTTTTTGAACATAGAATATATTGTTACATGACACAACTATTTTTCCTTTTTTATTAGTATACGCTTATAGTACCTAGTGGTTACATCTTCTGTGGGTAGTTTGTACAGGCACAGACTATTCTTTCTTTCCCTGTCAACCCATCCCTCCCAGCTTTACATTTGCAAATGCTCTAACTCCATTTTTTGTTCAATTCTCTTTTTTTATCCCTTTTCCATTCTTTCCCTCCCTCCTCCCTCCATTTCTTGACCCCCTTTAAATTTGAAAAACATCTTTTGTCTTAGTTACTTTTTTTCATTGCTGAGACAAAAATACCCAACACCCAAAGTTAAAGGAGGAAAGGTTTATTTTGGCTCACAGTTTATAGAGGCTTCAGTCCATAATCAGCTGGTTCCAAGGCAAGGAGGCAAGACAAAGGGACATTGCAGAGGAGAAACAGTTCGTGGCAGACAGAAGACAGAAGGCACCAAGCAAGCAGGGTACAAGCAATAAGCAAACACACCAGCTTTCCTTCTGCCTCTTATGTTTTTATCCAGGCTACCTGCTTAGTTAGGGTGGGTGGCACTCACCCAGGGTGGGATGCCCTCAACCCTACCTAGAACTATGTCAAACCAATCAGCGGATGGTAGGGACTCGGTTGTCTCTCGGTGGTCCCTGGGAGAAAACAGTAAGGGGATTTAGAAAATAAAGACAAGAGACAAAAGTTGGGGTCAGTTGGAGTGGCCTCTTCTTACCTAATGGGCAAGAGGACTGACTAACAACAGTAGGGGCATTTATTTATACCTTTGCAAGGTTAGTATCAGGAGACACAAGTTGCCTAGCAAATGATGACTGAAATTTTCCAGGCAGGATGTTTTTCTCAAGACTGAGGTAGCTTGACTGCTTCTGGCACTCTGGCTCTGTCTTGCCCTCACACACATAACCAGATTTCGGCTTCAGCCACTCCCAACAGTTAACTAATTTACTAATCACATACCCTTAATCTGAGCATCACACACTCTAGATCCAGCTACCTCTGAAACAGTCCCACCTATGAATACTTAAGGCTTTCAAGGGGACATCTAGACACAAGCCATAGCCTCTCCCTACTTTATATTCTACTTTTTTGTTCTTTCTTTATATTTTGAGTTTCTCATATGAGAGAAATCCTGTGATATTTAAAGCTGTGTCTCTGATTTATTTCACTTAACATTATTGTCTCAAAGTACATCCATTTACCTACAAATGTCTCAAGTTTATCTTTCTTTATGGCACTGTAATACTCCACTGTGTATAAATACCACATTTTCTTTGTTCATCTGTTGGTGGGCATATAGGTTGTTTTCAAGATTTAGTTTTTATAAATTGTGCCACTATAAATATGGGTATGCATGTATCACTCTAGTATGATGACTTTAACTCTTCAGGGAAGATGCCTAGCAAGGGAATAGATAGGTTCAATGGAATTTCTATTTTTCTTCGTGAGAAATCTCCATATTTATCTTCATAGTGGTTTTACTAGTTTACACTGCCACTAACAGTGTAGAAGGGCTCCTTTTTCCCTGCTTGCCTCACCAACATTTGTTATTACTTGATTTTTTGATGATGGCCATTCTTTCTAGAGTAAGATGGAAACTCAGGATTGTTTTAATTTGGATTTCTTAAATGACCAGCGATGTTGAACATTTTTTCATGTATACATTGGCAATTTGTACTTCTGAGATGTGTCTATTCATTTCAGGACCCATTTTTGACTTGGTCTTTTATTTGGGGACATCTAAATGTTTTGAGTTCTTTATATATTCTATATATTAGTCCTCTATCAGAGGAGTAGTTGGCAGAAATTTTTTCCCATTCTATAGGTTGTCTCCTCATTCTGTTGGTTTTTTCCTTTGCTGTGCAGAAGCTTTTTAATTTAATATAATCCTGTTTGTTGATTCTAAGTATTATTTCTTATGCCACTGGGGTTCTATTCAGCAAGTTATTGCCTACACCTATATCTTCCAGAGTTTTACCTATTTTACACTCCAGCAAATTAAGTATTTCTGTTTTACTGCTTCAATCTTTGATCCATTTTGATTCTAGTTTAATGCACAGTGGGAGATATGGATCTAAATTCAATCTTTCAAATGTGGATAGCCAGTTTTCCCAGCACCATTTGTTAAAGAGGCCATTGTTATGGTTTGTGTCTAGGTGTCCCCCCAAAGCCTTGTGCAGTCATGGGGTGGGCTTCTAGAGTTTTTGATTGACTCATGATCCAATGGGATTATGGGTGTGAGTGCTACACCCGCCCTGCCCTGGGTGTAGCAGAGTGGATAGCCTGCATACAGTATAAAGGTGGGAAGGAGTCTTGCTTGCTGCTGCTACTCCCTTTTGGTCTTGTTGCCTCTGCCACCATGAACTGTTGCCCTCTGCCATGTGCCACCTTGCCTTGGAAACAGCCAAGTATGGACTGAAACCTCCACAAACTGTACACTAAATAAATCTTTCCTTCCTTAATTGTGGGTGTCAGGTATTTGTTTCAGCAATGAGAGTAACCAAGACAGCCATCTTTCCTTCAGTGTATGTTTTTGGCCCCTTCATTGAAGTTTCAAATAGTTGAATGGCTGAGGCTGTTTTGGCATCCTCTATTCTGTTCCACTGATCCACATGTCTGTTTTTTGTGCCAGTACCATGCTGTTCTTATCACAGTAGCTTTTCATTATAACTTCAAATCTAGGATTGTGCTGCCTCCCACTTTGCTATTGTTAGTGAGAACTGCTTTTGATAGTCTGATTGTTCTCTTCTGTTTCAATATAAATTTTTATATTGTTTTCTCTAGATCTGTGAAGAATGCTGCTGGTATTTTTATTGGGATTGCAATAAATGTATATATCAGTTTTGGAAGTATACCCATTTTGACTACTGTGATTGATGTTGTTCTTTCTAATTTCTTTTTCAGTAAATTTATTATTAGTGTATAAAATGCTATTGATTTTTGTGTGTTGACTTTGTATCCTGCCTCCTTGTTGAATTCTAGGAGACTTTTGGTGGAATTTTTGGTCTTCTGAGTAGAGGATCATGTCATGTGCAAATAATGGTACTTTGACTTTTTCCTTTCCTATGTGTGTCTCCCCACTTTTTTGTCCCTTCTCTTGTCTTATTGGTCTGGCTAATGTTTGGAGGACTATGTTAAACAGGAGTGGTAATGGTGGACATCTTTTCAGTTTTTTCCCCATTTAATATAATGTTGGCAGTGGGTTTGTAATAAATAGCTTTTATCAGATTGAAATAAAGTCCTGCGCTTTCTGTACCTTCTTCAGGGTTTTAATCATGAATGGATGTTGGATTATGTCAAAGGCAGGTTTTCTTTTTGCATCTGTGAAGAAAATCATGTGACTTTTCTCCTTGCTTCTGTTTATGTGATGAATAATATGTATTGATTCGTGTATATTCAACCATCCTTGCATCATTGGGTTGCGGGACCCAATCATCTTTTCTGGCATTCTGTTTTTTGCATTCTGTTTGCCAATATCTGGTTGAGGATTTCTTCACCTATGTTCAATAGAGGGATTGACCTGTAGTTCTCTTTTTTAGTTGGATCGTCATCTTGTTTTGGAACCAGGGTAATGACTTCACAAATGACTTTGGGAGTATGCCTTCCCTTTCAGTTGGTAGGTTTTTCATTTCTGCTTCAATTTTATTGGCTGTTATTGGATTATTCAGGATTTTTAAGTATTTTTGGTGCAGTTTTGGTAATTCACATGTATCTAGGAATCTTTCCTCCCCTTATACATTCACCAATATATTGATGTGCAAGTTTGTGAAGTAGTGGGTAATCATATTCTGGACTTCAGCAGTGTCCATTGTGTTTTCACTTTTTTCATTTCTAATTGCATTGATTTGTTTCTTTCCTTTTTGGTTAAGATTGGCTATGGGTTACTCTGTTTTATTTACTCTTTTGCAGAGCCATGTCTTCAATTCATTGATTCTCTGTAACTTTTTTCTTGTTTTGGGGGGGATTTTTTTCTCCATTTCATCAATTTCTGCTCTGATCTTTATACTTTCCTTCCTCATACCCTTTGTGTTGTCTTCTGATTTTTCATTAATTCCATTTATTCTTAAAGTAGTCTTCTTTATATCATCTAGCAGCTGTTGGTTCCATTTTCATGTTCTCTTGTTGTTTTTAAGGTGTCACTCACTAATTGATTGCCAACCACAGCCCTGTCTTCTAGCTCTGACATTCTGTACCCACATTGGTCAATTTTACTATCCATATTTTCAATAGAATTTTTAATCTCCCTTATTTTTCTTTGAAACTTTTTTATGGACTCATCCTTTTCTGTCCTGGGCATTCATGCATGTCTTCTTTTAGCTCTGCTAGTTTTTTATTAGTGTATTCTCTAGACTCACTGATCATTTCCTTCACTAGGATCACTGCCTGTTTAATTATATCTTCTTTGAGTTGACTAAACATCTTGTTGATCCATTTTATTACTTCTATTGTTATCCTTTCAGGTATTTCATCTGTGCAGCCTTTGATTCCACCCTCCCCCCCTTGATCTCCCCTAGATTGGCTTTGAGGGAATTGAGAATTTTGAAAGCATTTTTCCTTCATTTTCTGCTGCTTCTATTTTTTATTTGTTTGCTTGTTTCCTGTGTTGAGGCTTGCAGATTGATTATAATGGGTAGCTCTGTTGCTAGTATAAAGACCTTTTTAGTTAATGTCTACTTATCAAAGTTGTTCTCTGGGCATCACTAGCTATTGGCCTTTGCCTCTGTCCCCAGATCCAACCACATCCATTTATTTATGACACTATTTATTTTATAGACCTGCTACCCAATTCTTCAACAATGGACAGCAAGACAATCTACATATTGGCATGCAGAGAAAACAAGTTCATAGCAGCAACTATGTCAGCTTGGCTAAAGTAGTAAAATAAAAAATAGTGTCAAATACAAACTAGATACTGGCATACCCTAAGAACTAATAATGTACCACTCTCAGCCATAGAAAAGAAATCTGTAATTATAGTGTAAATACTAGGGCCAACCAAATATTAATCTCCAGTAAATATGTACTCAAATAAAAGTTTTATCTCTATAAACAATAGAACAGTTTTCAACCATAGTAAGATATTTTTAACTATCTATAGATTCTTAAAACTTAAGGGGCATGCTTGTAAGCATAGAGGTAGTGGGAACTGGGAACCTGAATTAAGGAGCAAAAGGAAATTATTAGTATTACTAATAGGTAGATGGTAGTATTACTAATAGATTAGATAAAAGTGACAAAAAAAAACAACAAGGAGAAATATAAAAAATAGAGACTAAATTAATGGAAAAGAATAAAAAATAAAAAGGGAACAAATTAAGAGAGGACAAAAGAGAATAAAGGAATTAATGAAACAAATAAACAAGGATTAATTTTTTTAAAAAAGAGAGAAAAGAACATGGGAGATGAAAATCCAAAGTCCACCAAAAAAATCAATAGAGGGAAAAAAAATTTTAGTCAAAAGAAGAAAGAAATAAAAGTCTTACGTGTTCCCGGATAATTGGTTTACTTCCAGAGTCTTTGGAGTCCAGCAAGTCACAGCCCTCCCCAGGCAGTTTTACAGCTTGTGAGTTTGTGAGGTGACTCCTCTACTCAAAGGTCCTCTGCTTATAAACCCCAGTCTGTTGTAACTGTCCAAGCCAAGGCTCGTCCCCACTCACATTCGTGAACTGGAAAGCAACCAGACCGCTGGCTTCCTCTGGGTGTAGGCTGCCAGGCAGGCTCACAAGCATTCCTCCGGACTCAGCGCCATCACCTTCAGATCCAGCCCTCTCTGAAAGCCAGCCTTGCTGAGCCTAGCTCCCCACCACCAGATGCAGGCCCTCTGTCTTTCCTGGACTGAGCCTGAACTTCTCAGGGGGTGTGGGAATGTAGAGAAACATGGGGGACAGGCAAGGAAAGGTAAGAGCCCTGGTGAGGTTTCTGGAAAACCCTGACTAAAAAGAGTTGAATCTTTGAGAGAGCAATTAAGAGAAGCAGGGAGAACCAACACACAGCTCGGCCCCTCTCTGTGCCAAGGCTCCCAGTTCCATCCTCTCCACCTCCAGGTAAGTATAACGGAGACAAAGGGGAGGGCTGTATTACAGAAAACTCACTTGGAATATAAAACGTACACTCACACACATCCTTACCACATTGCTGCACTAAAATTTCCGTGTACCCTTTTACTAATTGCTTATAAGGCCCACCCTAAGTTTTAGAGATAGCACCTTTGGCAGCACAAAGAGTGTCAAATGAGTTTATCCAAGAATTTGCACATAGGCAGTAGAGAGCGTCCGTGGCGCTATCAGGGGTCTCAGAGCCTAAAATAGCCAATCAAGTTTTAACAAATTTCCGAGGGGAGAGTCTGTTTTTCACCATATAATAAAAGGGATTAAGAACAAAGACCCGTAAGCACTGGCTCTAAGCACCCTAACTTACTCCAGAAAAGTAGCTATCTCCTCACTTCTCTGCTCTTTCTAATAAAATGATTTTATTCTCCTTTCAAATATAGCTCTAATTTTTTACTTATATAAGTTGGCAATTCCTGGATAAATGAAATTTACCCTCAAAAGATCTGACAGGGGGATCTATGTCTAGCTAGCACTCTTTCCCACTCTGTCTCCTTTGGCTATTTCTCACTCAGTCACAGTGGTAGGGTAACACTTCAGCCCTGGAGTGAAGCTTTAGTGTAGGCGTTCTGTGACCCAGTCCTTCATGATCAACCCCTGCCCCAAATGGCACCTGTTTAAACTCTCTCTGGCAGCATGGTGAATACTGCACTAGATTTCTTCTTTAACTCTATGAAGAAGTCACTCTCTGGATAAAGCCCCATACTGCTTTGGTTGGGTTTGGTTTGGTTTGGTTTTAATTTGCATGCACCAGCTGTGGGCTTTTCTTGGGGCTAGAACAATTGACCCATCCATTGTTTTTCCATGAAGCATCCACCTTTTCCAGGCAACCTTGCCTCTTCTCTGAGATGGTGACCTATTTCCTGATAGGTCAGTCCTTTGATAGTCACAAGTGTTCCCTGTCCTGGGGGGACCCAAGGTGTGGAGCATGCTTGGAAATGGAAGTTTGCTGCTGGAGGTTGGTGGCATCCTGCCTCATGTGGTGGGTGGGGACATGACAGGACATTTGGCAACTGAATGTAAGCTGCATTATCTAAAAGATGACCAGGTCTTTCTTAATTAGTTCTACAGAAAATGTCCACAAAAAACGTGAAGCTATCCTTTACCATATTAATGAATTACAGGTCTTTCAGGAAGTGATTTCTCAGTAGGCAAAGAGCTTAGCAGAACTTTAAGTTTTTCTTTTTTCAGAAAGATAATTTCTAGTTATAGCTAATGACAGCTTTTACTTATTTTGTGCTTCTGCTATACGAGCCACTGTTATAAATACCATCCCATGTAGTATATCACTTAGTTCCTATAAGAATTCTGCGAAGCAATGGCATTGTAACTTTCATTTTACTCACTGTGAAACTGAGGCAAGGAGAGACTGAGTTACTTTCCCAGAATGGCTTAGAAAATGATAGACTGATCATTTGAACCCAGAAAGTTTGACTCAGGAATCTGTGCTCTCTGAACAAAATGTGAAGTCACTTCCTTAAAATGAGAGCATAATATCATCTTTATTTAATGTTAAGTTGGCACACATTCTCTGCCTCATCCCATTTCTCCTGTCCACGAGCATATTTATATTTGTCTGGAAAGTGTCCACATATTTGTTTTCTATTTAAAAGAAAAGCAGTTTTTCATCACCCCCAAATTTAGTATTTTGGACCCTGTCCAACTAAATGCTACCTTTTGTGACTATGTTTCTAAAACAGTCTTTACTTTCCTGAAATGGGATTCATACATAATATACCCACCTCACAATTAAATAGAAACACTCAAAATAGTGGTAACTCTATGAATGCAAATAAAATAACTTAAAGTAATTTCTGTATTAATATGCAATGGCATTGACATGCCTCCATTATCAGAAACAGGAAAGTACAGTTAAACCCTGGATTATGAGTAACTTGGTCTGCAAGTGTTCTGCAAGATGAGCAAACATTTCTAACAAATTTTAACTTGATAAATGAGTGATGTCTTGCAATACAAGTAGTACTTCACACCAAATGTCACATGATCACGACTGGCTCTCTGTTTGCCTTGCCATTTTTATATACAAGTGCTTTGGTTTATGAGCAGAACGAATTACTCTCACAAACCAAGGTTTTACTGGAGTTAGAAAGTTATATCTGTTGTCAAAATCCCTACTTATGGAGACTAACACATATGTCTTACTTGTAGGTCAAATATATTGGTTATGAGGTTTTTTGAAATAGCAACCCAATCCTGCTAAATTTCTGGAAAAGAAACAGGAAATGCTCCCCTTGGTTACCACCATACTACATTTCTTCCTTTGTAAGAAATACATTTTCATTTTAAAATGCTTTTTATGTATGGTATTCCCACAGACTCTCTGTAGAGGGAGCAGCTGGTCTTTAAGCAAAGGATGTGCCTGCCCTATAACTGAGGAAGAACTATGGAATGGTGCTTCACTCTAAGGAAAATACTCTTGTAATTGGAATGGAATCATAATCATGTATTTCCACCAAAGTGTGATTATTACAAAGTAGTTTTCTGAAGCAATCTTAGGTTTATTAATGGCTTCCAATAATCAGTTCAAAAACAAGGTGTCTCATTTAAGCCTCCTATTCTGGTTTACATTATAGCTATACTACTCACTAGCTGTTTAATGTTGATAAGCTACTTCATCTCTTTGAGGCAGTTTCATCCAAGGTAAAATGGAAATTTTAATTTGTACTTACAGGCCTATTATGAAGATTAAGTAAGATACATGTAAAAATATCATTACAAGTTTTCAGTGAATAGAAGATGGTACCACAGCTTGTAATTTAAGTGCTAAAACATTTAAAAATTAAATCACAAGGTATGATCAACACTAAATTCCTGATTTTCTGTATATATGAAGTCTATAGTAGTTCAGAGAAGAAAGAAGTCCATGTAGGCAAGTGTGGTCAGTAACAGCTTCAGGTAAGAAATGAGACTGGATTTGAATCCTACCAAGGGTAAGAACTGAATAGTTTGAGAAAGAAATGGGGCATCAGGATGTGGGAACCATACTTGTTCTCTGTGCCATCTATTTCAACACGCTTCTACACCTGTGTTAATAGCTGTATGCGGCTACTTAGTCAAAATTAAATAAAATTAAAACTTAAGCTCATCAGCCACACTAACTCTATTGGTATCAACATCTAACTCCGGGTGCCTGTATTGGAGAGCATGCAACATTTCACTGTGGTGGAGAGCTCCCTTGTACAACATTGATCATTATCCTGAAGACATAATCTTCAGTGCTAGGGAAATGGGGTTGCTGGCACTAAAATGGCATACAACAGAGACAGAAGGTAATACGTTGGATAGCACTTTATGGAGAAAAAAAACTTTGGAATTTGGTGCTTTTAGTTAGTATTTTTTGATAAAAATTCTGTATATTTATAATTGGGAGAAAATATTTTAACTAGAAGTACTTATCTGCTGACTCAATAATATCAAAAGATAATCCAAATTCTTTATCCCTTTATATAAAACTCATAGACTTAAAATAAATTACAAAGCCACTAGTGTTTAGAGCAAGGAATGAAGCTGCGTGTCTCAATTTCAGGAAGTGCTAGTTGAAAGATTTGTGTCATACATTAGCTACTTAAATAATCAAAAACAGTATGATTGGTGGGACAACCTTTTACCATACTTTCTGTAAGGTAAAATAGTGCAGCAAAATAATTCTAAAGACAATAATCTATGCAAAACAATGAAAACAGTTATATAGATTTTTTTAAAGTTATGAGTCATAGTGATTTGTTTGAATATTAAAAATTGATAGTCAAACCATTTAAGAAATATAGCTTTTATATTTGAAAGCATCTCAAAATTCTAAGGTTTATAAATTTCACCTACTATTTAGATGAACAATTATAACCTTTTAAGTGCTGCTCCCGTAAATTTGTGCTAGTTACCATTCATCAAACTACTAAAACTCACATATATTTCTACAAAAACACCAAAAACTTTTTTACAGTATGAGTATGGACCCAGGGTCAAAGAATCTTTTTAGAACAACATTTTCTATGGTAAAATAAAACAGACTTTTCATGAACTTTGTTTAAATAAATGTTTATCAAGGTCATTTACTGTTTTCTAAATTAAAATTAATTCAATAAGCAAATTTTATATTGTGGCATCTAACTTATTACTAAGTTGTCATAGCACTTTATCTCTGCCTTGTGAATTTTCTTTGGCTCTAAGACTGTATTACAACTTCCTTTAGTTTGTGAGCAAGCCATTCTGTGCATAGCTGGTTTTTACAGTGTGAAAACTGGATTAGCATATAGTGAGTACTATGTTGAGTGCTTCTCGTATATTATTTATCTCATCTCTCCATAACATAGGTAGTATTCACCTTAGTGTAAAGATTAAGATATCTCAGAGAGATCAAGTGACTTGCCTAAGGTCACATACAATGGAGTGTAGATATAAACCCAGCTTGCCTGACTGCAGAGGTCTTCCCACTTAACTGAGTTGCTTTTCACGTTTCTTGAACTCTTTGGTAATACCTGGGGAACCTGAGGGATAGTGCCAGCTCTTTCCTGATATCTTTTCCAAGGTCATTATCCTTAATATCTGGCACCCAGAAGACTTCCGTGCAGTGTTGGTTGCACTGATTGAATGATTCCACCCAG